ACTTTGAATTCTAGTGCAAAGGATCAAATGAGATAATGTGTATGAAAGCGTTTTGAAAAGCATACAACTATAGACATGCAAAGGGTCCTTATTGTTTGGGTCACAGTAACACCTTATTTATAGAGGGACCTCTTGTCTGGTAATCTCAGCTCTCACAACAGAAAACTTGAAAGAGAGAAAAAATATCTAGACCACCAGAACCCGCGACCTGCTAAAGTAGACCTCGTAACAGCCGCTCCTCAATGCACCGCGCCTCATCCACGGCAGAACCTCGGACCCGCCTTCAATGCATCGTCTCGCTCTCCTCACCCAGAACTCCAGCGAGCTTGTTTTCCTGTCTCCCAAACTGCAGAGCAAAACTGAAAGAGTGAAACTCAGGGAGGGAGGTTACCAGGGTCAAAAACTCAAGGAATCAGAGCGGCACGGGGAAAGCAATCCTAATAATATTTTGACAATCCTTGAGAGAACATGAAAAACCTTGTGTTCGTAATAATGAGCTTGAGACATCCAGAAAAAAATTTACACATACGTCTACATGGGGAGCATAGGTAGATACGTTCTATATAAGCAAGCAGGGGACTGTGTGATAGAGTTTAGAAAGATACCTACACAAAAAGCAGTGGCTGCAGACGGCCAGAGCCACGCCACTGACCGTATTCCCCTTTCACTTTGGGTCAAAGTTAAATTTGCAGCTCAACTGTGGAAACTAGAGGACCGTCTGGTTTGGATATTTGTATTCTATTTTTCCCTCCTCGTTTTGACATTCTATTTTAATTTTTGTTTTTCCTGGTTCTTATTTTTTTAATTTATTATTTATATTACACTGTTTTATTGTTTTTCTTGTAAGCCACCTCAGAAGTTTTGTAGAGCAAGGCAGGAATACAAATAAATCAATACATACCACTTGTACGTAGGTTAATGTTTTTGCAAAAGTAGGCATTCAATAAAAATGTATTGTCTACAAAGAAAAAGTGATAATACTAGATAAACAGGCATATTTCTAGACTGCTATTATCTGTATTATCTTTCCAATTTTCTAATTTTCGAATTGGGTGCAATGAGAAAGGGAACAAAGCTTTCTAAGTTGGTCACAAAAGTCATGACCACATAGAATAGGTGGTTCTTAGGGTTATGAAGGATCAATGAAAAGACCTGTAACTCCACGTATGATCCTGTCCTCCCTTTTTCTCCTCTTTTTAGGAAGCAGCGATCCTCTGGGGGAACCTCAGCCAATTCTAGCCATTTGCACTCCCCTCCGCCCCTTATAAATCCAGGGAAAGGGCAATAAAATCTAAATTTACCCAGTGGCTCCAAGGTCTGCATTATCTGGAGGCCTCGCAGAGTTAGCACATTCCTGTTTCTTTTTGATCTTCCAAATAAGATGGGTGCGTTGGCCAAAGAGCTTAAGGGGTAACTGATTTTCATGGGCTGACGTGAAACCACGAGAAAACTGGCCTTTGGGGTTCTCCTCTGCGGAGAAGCCGAGAAGTGCAGCTACGTGTCCCTTGCTACAAAGCTAGAAAGTCCCCAGCAGCTACAACGCATGTCACGGACGCCCACAGTCAGGTACTCACTGGCGAGGCTGCGGGGCCAACAGAGTTTAAAGGCTCAGCCTAACCCTGCTTCTAGTTGGTAGCGTCCCGAAGGTAGTGGAAATAGGATTGGATCAGAGTAGCCACGTTCTGGACCCAGTCCTGACACTTCCGAGTCAATATGTGACCCTGCACAAGTCGCTTGCCCTCTTTATAACTGGATATGGTCATCCCTGACATACCTAAAGTCCCTGGGGGCTATGAAATGAGTATTAGATAATTTATATCAACACTTACAAGTGTTCGTGGACATGAATTGCCCCTCCTCTGCTTCATGCACTAAAGAGAAGAGAGGGGAAGGAGGAGAGAAGAGAGAGGAGGGGGAGAGAGAAGAAAGGCAGGAGGAAGAGGAGGAGGAAAATCTACTCTTAGTAACACCCACCATCACCTCATCATCTTCACAGGCGGTCTGCCGGCTAACTAAGACCCCAAATAAATTAGCTCAAGTTCACTTGCTTGTCCCTCAGTTTCCCTAACAGCATGTGACACACAGCAGGCACTCAATATATGTTTTTTGAAGTCAAAAAGGAAAAAATTTCTGAACTGTTCAACAACAATCCCAGTACTTAACTCACCAAAAAAAAAAAAAAAAAATCCTCAGATCCTCACAGGGAAAAACCTTTTGATGAAAAAACAAAAATCAAAACAACACAAAACCTTCACTGTTAAAGCAACCTGGAGATTGTCCCCCAAAATAAACTTTAGTTTTTAAGGACATGCCACTTTACAAAACAAACTAATAGCTGCCTACTTAATCTTTACAAAAACTCTGCAAGATAGATATTATTATCCCCATTTTACATGAAAGGAAAGTGAGATGCAGAGACGTGAAGCCATTTGTCACAGACACTCGTGGTCAGGACCTCACTGGCAACTGCCGTGGGCGAGCAGCCTGGGCATTTCTACAGCATTCTCTGAACCAATCCCCTGGGTAGAACGTGCAGGGCAGGCAGCTGGGTGCACTGGGGCATCAAACACGATGCGGCCGCATGGAGAGGACTCCCTGTCTTGGGAGCCTAAGCCTTGGGCACAGGTAGTAGGCAATGACGACACTGAGTTTGACAGGAGTTCCAAGGAGAGGGAGTCAAGGGAGAACCGGGGGGACAGTGACGTTTGATCTGGGGATGGCACACGTGAGACGGGGGAAGGATCCAGGCAGGGCATGTGGGCAAAGGGAATGGCGTGAGCAAAAACGGAGAGGACGGCAGTCACAGGCACAGGAAAAGCAGTCGGAGAGCATGAGAGAGGAGGGAGAAGTGGACACACTGATGCTGAGGTCCTGGTGCACATCTAAGTGGTGGCGTCCGTCCAGCAGTTGGGGACGCTGGGCTGGAATCGAGAATATCGGGAATGAAAACAGACGGTTGCAAGTCGTCTGTACGGAGGGATGGAGAGCACGAAGGCCAAGGGGACTGGGAGAAAGAAGATAACCCCTAAACTGTGGAAGAAGGAAGAAGAGTCGCAGGGAAGGTGGTCCAGGACCTGGAAACGGAAGACAGCCGTCTAGCAGAGCGACAGCACCTCCCTGATGTCAGCCGCCAGGAGACAGAGAGTCAGGAAGGAGGGCGGGAAGGATGTAGAAGTGAAGGAAGAGGAACACCGAGGAAAGGGCTGCTGAAATGTGGGAAGTAAGAAGTCACTCGTGACACTGGAGGGAGCAATTCTGGTCAAAGTGGGGAGAGTGTGAGACAGCGAAAGTCAGATTAATGGAATTGAGAAGTGGGGTGGGCAAGAAGTGAGGATAAACTCAAGAAATTTGATGAAGGCTCGGAGAAAATAAAAACACATACTAAAATCTCCTGACTCCTTGGAGAGGGCTGCGTCTGCGGGGCGGACTGAACTGGGGCGAGACCACCCTGGCCTGTCCGTGCCCCGCAGGCCCACGCTCCAGACAAGAAACACAGCACGGACGATTCGGGCTTTGAAACTTGGAGTGTTCACTCTGGGAGGCCGAGGCAGGTGGATTGCTCGAGGTCAAGAGTTCAAAACCAGCCTGAGCAAGAGCGAGACCCCATCTCTCCTATAAATAGGAAGAAATTAATTGGCCAACTAAAAATATATAGAAAAAATTAGCCAAGCATGGTGGTGCATGCCTGTAGTCCCAGCTACTTGGGAGGCTGAGGCAGGAGGATCTCTTGAGCCCAGGAATGTGAGGTTGCTGTGAGCTAAGCTGATGCCCCGGCACTCACTCTAGCCTAGACAACAAAGCGAGACTCTGTCTCAAAAAAAGAACAAACACTTGGAGTGTTGTCTGGAACTTTGCGGCAAGAGGAGCACATCAAAGCAAAGGTAAGCGCAGCCGGTGCCCCGGGAGGGCTGGGCGCTACCCTAACAGACCACCCTGCCACGAGGCCTGCCCCGACCGTGCCCTCGCTGGGAGGCGCCCGTGAGCCCCGCAATCAGCACCAGTTCCTCTCGAGTATCCGCGACTGTCGCTGTCCCCTTCGTTATTATTCCTCGACCTGGCTGCCTCCCCGTCCACTAGACTTGACTCGACACCTCTCTGGGCTCTTTTCAACTCAAACTGCCGCAGGAGCCAGAGACCTGGCGTCACGGAGTGTGCTCTGAAGGTGGCTCTCCCAAAGGCTTCAAAAGCCGCTTTGCGATGGCAGCACCTCGGGAACGAGAGTCCGAACCAGCAGAGCGGACCCTGTGCAGAGAGGGGCTCGTGGCCTGCGCTTGGGCACATTTCTCCAAGCACCAGCCTCGCGGGGTTCTGAGCACAGCGCCTGCTCTCACCTCCGCCACACGCGTGTCTTCTACGCAGCGCGCCAGTGTCCGGCCTGCCCGCCTCGCTCCGCAAACTGCCACGGGCCGAGCCCCTGCTTGAAAGACAGTGACCCTCCTACTGAAGAAACAAACCACAAGGCAAAGAGATTCGGCCAGAGATGGTGACAAGAGCTGAACTTAAGAGAGCTACATTCAGACGCTAACATCGCTTGCTGTGTGGCCTTAGACAAGTCATCCACCCTCTCTGGGGGTCCATTTCTTCAAGTGCAAACTGAAGAGGATGGACTAAAGGAACTCTAACATGCTTCTCTTCTTAAAAAAAATAATAAAACCTTGCACGTTTTCAGTGATTATTAAAAACTATTGGAGATGGTGAAAGAGAGAGCAGCGGCAGAATTGCCAGGACAAAGTGGACGGTTCAGGGAAAGGAGAGGGAAGACCAGAGACCTGGGGGAGGGTTGGGAGCAGTGACAGCAGCCTGGAACCAGCCCCAGCCCACCGAGAAACGGAGCGTCCGCTGCTCCTGGAGGCTGAGCCAGTTTCCCAGCCTCCTGGGTGAGGGACACTCATTCGTTTCCTTCTTTGCTGCCACCACGGAGCTGTTGACAGGGTGGTTCTGCCCCCCCCCCCACCGCCTTGTCAGCCCTCGGCCATGCGGGGAAGGGGAAGGGTCCTTACCCATCGTGTTGTTGGCCCTGGAGCAGGCTGTGCGCTTCAGGATCTCGTGCACCTGAAAGGGGGAGACGGCAGAGCTGAGAGGGCTTGGGCAGGCGCCGGGCGGGGCTCAGGAGCGTTTGAGAGAGGGGACTCCAAGCACGCGCCACGCCAAGCACACAGAGCGCATGTCAACCCCGCTCAGACTGGAGGGCTTTGAGGAAACAAAGGACCTGGCCCCCTCACACACATCCCACCCCCTCGCCTCACCCTACAGAAATGAACAACGGCTCCGAACTGCCGTGGCTGCAAGAGGTAGGACGCAGGCGGCCAGCCTGGGCCACGCGGCCGTCTTGAGGGCCAGGAGGAAGCGCCAGGTCTGGCCGGCAGGGGCGGAGTGCCTGCCTCCCTCCCATGTCGGGGATGTCGGGGAGGACGGGGTTCTCCCTGGTGGGGCCTGGGGCACGTGAGGGGGGTGTGCCTCCTCCACCAGCTGCAGCACGTGCTGACCAGGACAGCCGGCCGGGGTGGTGGGGGTGACAGCACAGGCTGTGGGGTCAGACCTGGGGGCCTTGAGCAAGCTCCGGGCCTGCCACTGCCCTGCGACAGACCCGGTGCACACAGCTGCGCGGAGGGGCCAACAAGACAGTGCACGGGACAGTGCTTTGTCAACAGGAAAAGGGCTACTGATACGCTGGTCATCGGTGTTGTTATTCCTCTGGTGTTTTCCTTTTCCCGAGTCCTCTCCATGCCTCCCTAACCAGAGCATGCCACACGCTTCCTCCGAGACTGTCTCAGAGCACTGCATGCAGGGCCGCCTGCCCGTGGCTTCTCATGCCTCAGGTCCCTGGGCTGCGGGGCTGGCGGGGGACCCTGTCTCTCTCATGGGGGAGAGGGGGCTCCCCGTGGAAAAATCAGGGACCTGAGTGGGTCAGTGTGAACCCGCTGGCCAGCTGGTGACCTCCTAGTGGGGCCCAAGCCTGTGCCAGGCTATGCAGACACGCCCAGCAACAAAGTCTGCTTCGGGACCAACAGCTGTGCTGCGCAGACGCCAACAAAGAAGTGGGCACAGGCATCTGCAGGTGTGGGTGAGGTCTTCCGACAAAAGTCCAGAGCAGAGTAGACCCCAGGACAAAACTCAAGGCTCTTTTTCCCCGCTTCTCACAGTGTGGGGTGGACTGAGGAAATGGAAGGAGGGGAAGGAAGAAGCTTCCAGAAGGAGAGATGAATGCTAGAAGATGTTACTCCTTGAGTATTTATACTCCCCTATTCCAACCACAGACCTAGAGAGAGTGGTAAATAAATAACTTCCAGCAGAATGGGGCCCAAGAGTGTTTAATTCTGCTCATAATACAGTGCAGTAATTCGACAGCAATAATAATTAGGAACAGCATTTATATGGCATTGTATTATTTTACAAGCACTTTGCAATTATCGGGTAATCTCTAAAACACCCTATAACTCCCCCACAGTTGTGGGACCCAAGCCACAGTGAGATTTAATTAGCTTGTAATAGCAGCAACCAAGAAAATGAGAAGTTTACGCCTTTTTCCATAGGAGGAAAAATCATATGCCCGTTTTAAACCTTCCTAAAGCAGGCTAAGGGACCTGAGATGTGTTCTTGCCCCTCCTGCAAGCAAGAGTTAAGGCCATGTTTTCAGGTGCTCTGCAGCTCAGGCTGGGGCCACAGAGACACGGGCCATAGAAAGATTTTTATTAGAATCCATCACCCCACACAATTCAACACTTGGCATAAAAGGCAAAACAACCGTAGAAGAAGGGCTATGGTCGTGAATGCTGGCCTTCTATTGAACGGGCCGCTAATTTTATTCTTGGACAAACTGGCTAACTCCAGCATACGCTGTGAGACAAATTCACATGACCCCTTGTCATCGGGGTTGAAAGAAAGAAAAACGCCTCGAAACACATGGTCCTGCAATCAGAAGGACAGGTCCTCATCCTTGTTCTGACACCAACAATCTATGTGATTGTTTTTCAATGTGTTGCTCCTCAGAACTTCAGTTTCCTCACCTGTAAACCAAAGGCTCACCTAACTAGTTTAAAGTCCCCACCAGGTCCGACATTCCCTGTTTTTGTGATTCTAAAGACTTCAGTGGAGAGCCCATACAGAGAAGATGCTGCTCTGGTGTTGTAAGCAGGGCAGTTGTTTGCTATTTCTTTTGCTACTGGGATGGGGACACTCTTGGGTACTCCTCTCAGTTGCTAGGCAACTCCAAGCACATAGTGATGTAAGGTTGCAGGCAGGGTACGAGAAGGCCCCGCCATCTAGGTACTCAGCCTCCCCCCCAGCCCCTGTCTTAATGCAGCACGTTACTCACAATGCGGCTTCGGGTGGCATTGTCAAAGAAGGTGTCCTTGTCCTGGATGTTGTACCTGCAGACACCAAGAAAGCAGACAGTAAACTCACGGCAGTACCCCAGCCCTGAGACCACTGCCGCCCAGGCCGCGGCCCGCCTTCAGAGAGCAGCATGGCAAGGTGTGAGGGGCGGGCGCTCACTAACAGCGCTTGCGCTCTTTGTGACCCGGTCATGCTGAAAACTCTTCACAGAAACTTATCCCTAAGATAAAATTCAACAGAAGAAAAAAGTGACGTAAACGTAAGTGTTCACTACAAAGTTATTTATGCTAAAAATTATGGACATGAGATACAATTTAAAAATTGATAGACTATCATGTAGACATTAAAAAATCACAATTATGAAAATTTTATATAAGGCAAAGATTACCATGAAAGAAAACTAGTATACTGTGATAAGTTTTCAAATCAAAAATATATCATAGACAAAGACGGTAAAAAATACAAAAAAAAAAAAGAGGATAGTTTCAGGGTCTTGGGATTATAATTCTTTTTGTTTTCCAAAATTTTATTTAATGTTATCACTGTCTTCTCATCCGTCAGATACCAAGCTTCTAATTGCACCAGGATGCACAGATAGAGACACACTCCAGCTCCCTGGGAGTCCTAGTTCCCGAGCGGGGGGTGTCCAGGTAACTGATGCAGAGTGGAACGTGGCCACGTGCAGACCACTGCCGTGAAAGCTCGGGGCGTGAGAGCATGCTTCTGGCAGGGAAGCACAGAATGCTCTGCGGAAGGAAGGTGTCGCAGAGCTGGTGCTGAAGGACGGCACGGTGCAATGAGTGGGGACACCTGGGAGGTGGCTGTGCAGACGCCAGCGGGCCATGATTGAAGGCCCAGGCAGGGGTGCAAGGAAGCAGCACGGGCTGCAGAGGAGCAGCAGCCACAGGCCAACTTGCCAGGCCCCGCTCAGCCACACAGGGCTGCGCGGCCTTGGACAGACCTGGACCTGGCTTCCCTCTGCCTCACGAAGGGGAGGATGGGGACCAGTGACGGGAGGGGTGCGTGCGTGCGCCATTACTCTCTAACCTGGCAAGCACGGGCCGAGGTACTCTCCAGTGAACGGCAGAAACGCTGCCCCGCGACATCCACTCCTGGAAAGGGGTGCTCCTCCTGTCTCCTCTGCTTTCCTACTCCTCCAATCTCTCCAGCTCAGCTGTCTCCTAGCAGTCGTCACGGTTACTGCCTTTCTCATTAGCTCCTAGAGTGGGACTAAGCTCGGCTGCTGCATCTGCCACTTCCTGGTGCGGCCGCCCTTCCTGGGAAGGGTTTCGATTCCCTCCTCCTGGGCTGGGGCTGGGGCAGGTCTCCCCATAGTGGCTGCGTGAGTAGGCAGCTGGGGTGCAGATACCCACACCTCGCCGCCATCTCTCTGGCTTGTCACACCCTGCTGAGGCCCTACCAGACAGGGAAATGGGCAGATTTGCCCATAGAAGACAAACAGGTGTCTGACCACTTTCTCACAGAGTCCCAAAGTTTATAGTTGGCTGCTCCCTGGTCACGGAAAATGGCCTAATGGCAGGTTCCCCCACTGGACAAATACCCAGGGCTACAGGGGGTCATCTCACTTGGGCGGGGTTCGCAGAGCAGGGCCAGGGCCTGCTTCACCACAACAGCACACTTCCCCTCCCTCCCAGCATCCGGCACTCATCGCGTGAGCCCAGGGCTGGGGCACAGAACGGAAGAGACGGTGCTCAACTTTCCTTCCCATCCCCTTTCACAGCCCTGACCCAGCAGCGTCCATACTCACAGGTACATCTTCTCCCTAGAGAAAGGGTACGAGAGGTTCTTCATCCTGTTGTTGCTATGCTCTGGAACTCTGGGCTGCAGAGGCGAGCTCAGCTTCTGCAGAACCGCGTTGAACTTCTTCGCAATGCTGCCTCCCGCTTTGATCTCGTACATCTAGGACAGGGAAAGCCACAGGTCCGACAAGGGGGCCACATGCAGCCCTCAGAGAGGAATGGCTTCACGGCAGCGCTGCACAGGGCATGCAGCCCTGGAGGAGAGGGGAGGAGACTTGGAGAAACAAGGCGGCCCATCCCTCGCCCCCAGTGCTGTCACAAGGACGTGGGCTCTGAAGCCCCTCTCGATTATTTGTGTGCGTGGAGGCGACCAGTGTAGAGAAACAAGTGTGGAATTCGAACTGTCAATATGACTTGGTTACATAGTCTTAAGAGAAGCTGCAGGCCTACTATGTGACAGCCACCACACTAGGTGCTTGGCACAAATCCGCTAGGTAGGTGATATTATTCCCTTATTGTGATGAGGAAATTAAGGCTCAGATAAGTGAGATGAACCAACAAAGGCCACACAGGTAGTAACTGATGACAGAGCTTAGATTTAACTCATGTCAACCTAACCCAAAGTCTATACTCCACCACTATAGCATGCTTCTATGTGATCACCTGGTATCACTTTCTTTGTGTGTGTCTCTTAGGAAATATCTGTGTTTAAATGAGTTTGCTTTCAAAGCACTAAACACTCAATGAGTACCTGCCCTGAGTAAGGCATAGATTTACTACCAACATAATTGTTAATATTTATAGTATGTATAACTTTTAACAAAGCACAGCGTGTTTTTGCATGCATTATAGTTTTTTGTCTTTCTAATTTACAAACATAGTCATTGAGACATGGAGTTTGAACTTCTCATGGCAAAGTTGTCATAAATTGATGATGTCCACAAATTTTTATTCAAATTATTTTAAGAAGTAGCATCTCTCTTCCGACCCCCCTTGAATCTGGGTGGGTTCAGTGGCCACTTGGCCAATAGAATACAGTGGAAGTGACATTCTGCCAGCTCCATCCTTTAGGAAGATGGGCAGCTTCAGCCTTGGTCTGCCTTGGTCCCTTGAAGCCCCGAGCCACGCTGTGCAAAGCCTGCGCAGGAGTCCTGGGAGTACTCAGAGAGGGAAAGACACCTGGCTGCCCCCAGCCTGCCAGCTGCCTGGCCACACAGCAGGCATGCACCTGAAGCCTCTGGGACCCTCCTGTCCAGGCCACCCCCAAGCTAAACACCAAGTGTCCCCAGTCGTGGAGCAGAATTGTCATCCATTCCAGTTCTGCTTAAGTTCCTGACCAAAAAATCATGAGATATAATACAATGACTTGTTTCAAGCTAGTAAGTTTGGGCTAATTTGTCATGCTGTATTAGATAAGCAGAACAAGAGCCAATGTCCAGGTCTCTGACTGGAAAGTCTCTTCTGCTCTATCATGATAGCCTCGCGTTGCTTAAATCCAGGGGAGCAGTCACACAGGTATGATTATGTGTCTTAATACTTGACACTCCGGCTGGTCCAAAGGTAGTGAGTTATCCCACTTGATTGTTCACAGTCAGTTACAGATTGAACCCCTTGCTCTACTACTTTCTCCCCTTCTCACTACTGCACTTGACTAGTCTTTAAAGAAAACTCAAATACTTGCAATACTCATTAAGATGGAGTGAGAAATTCCACAAAAGATACACAAAGTGCTGTGAGGGTTCAAAGAAAGAGGCAGCACTTCCAATAGAGAAATCAGACAAATGTTTCATGTAGGGAGTAGCATTTCAGTTGGATTTGACAGAAGAGCAATCTTTTTTGTTATCATTTTGTTCTTTAATAAAGTAAGGATAAGTAGGGGCAGAGGAGACTCCCCCCAATCTAACAACTGAAATATAGCCACAGTTTATTTATTCCTCTAGTAGGTACTTTTCTTGGGCATTTTAATTTCAATTACAAAATTAACACAATTCAGGTAAACAACCAAAACCATAAAAGCATATTTGTCAGATGTTAAAAGTTTCCTGTCACTTCTAAGCCAATCTCACCCTCCTCTCCAAAGAAAACCTCTTTTGATAGTTTGGCGTATATTTTATCCCAACTCTTTATACATTTAGAATTGGATCCCTTTCTAAACAACGGTGCTCATACTTTACATGTTGCTCTACAATTTTCTTTTTTCATTTAATAATATATCATAGATATTTTCCCAGGTGAGTTCATATAGAGCTACCTTAATGGATGCATAGTCTTGCACAGTAGATGTGAATGCTAATTTGTTTAGCCATCTCCCCAGTGATGGGCGTTTATTTCATTTTCTGTGGATGCTTTATTTTGTTTTGATCACATTTCTATTAACATCACCTTATAAGTAATTTTGATGAATAAGGCAGAGATATGGGCAAAGAAATTCCAGGCAAACAAAAAAGCAGAAAAGTTCAAGCAGGGTTCAAGGAGGGTTAAACAGGCCGGTGTGTTAGGAGCAAGGGGTTCTAATGGGGAATGGTGACAGGGTGGCAGAGGGGCAAACAGAGACCAGTGCTTGGAGACCCTGCTGCACAAAGCAATGGGAGTCAGCAAAGGGTGTGAACAATGACAAGACCAGAGCTGTGAAATCGAGAAGGTATTGAGTGAGGCTGTGTAAGAATAGCAAGTCTACTTTCTGAAACAAGGGGATTGTTAATTTCTAGTGGCATACACCAGTTGTGAAGCGTCTCCTACGTGCTAGCTCTCGATGTATGTTAGTGGTAACCTTAAAGATACGCTGCAAAGCCAAAAGAGTTAAGTTTTTCAGCCAAGATCACACAGTGTAGACAAGCTAATAATTGATGGGATGTTTTAACCCACAGTAAAGCCTGTCTTTTTGACTGCTTTACTCTACTGCCTCATCTGCTAAAATAGGAGTTATTGTGGGAGAAAACAGTATGCAGCTTCCGACACTATCTCTTTTGTCATGAAGGCCTTGACCATTCTGCCATTCAGTCTGTCATTGCAAGGCAAAGAGCTCACCCCTCAGGCAACTTTGGATCTGGAGGGACGGGGACAGAAAGAAGACACCCTCACACTGTCACAGCACACCCCTTATGGGCCATTCGGGGCATGTTCTGAGCAGAACGTGCCATGCCCTAAGACTGCAGTGTTGATTCTACCCAAAGCCATGTATCTTTAAATGGTGTGTGCAGGAAAATTAAAGTTTCAGAGCAGGAGGGAAGCTGATGGGCTCCACCTTCCAGATGCCTTTGAAAGCAGATTTGGACTGACCAAGGCTATTTCTTCTCTGTCTACTCCTCTCCACGTCCACCTCTGGTATCCCTAGCCTAAGAAACCTTCATTAGGTTACAACAACAACTGGTCTATAACTGGTCTCCTCACATCCCCTCTCGCTAAGGGTTACCAGATTTAACAAACAAACATACAGAAGGTCAAGTTAAATATGAATTTTAGATAAACAGTGAGTCATTTTTAGTATAAGTAGATCCCATGCAATATTTGGGGCCTACTTATATTAAAAAACCATGCAATTAAAACAATTGTTAGCATAAGTAAGTTCCATCCTGTATCCAAAAAAGTATTCATTGTTTATCTGAAATTCCAATGTAACTGGCATCCTGCACTCTGTCTGGCAGCCTTACCCCGGCCCACCGCCTGTTCCGTGTCCGCTGGAGCCAGAGTGAGTCTTCTGAAGCAGAAATCTGGTCATGTTTCCTCCCTGTTAAAAAGCCTTCAACGGTCACCCATTGCTCTTAGGATAAAGATCAAAATTCTCAATGCAGCCCACGGGGCCCCACAGAAGTCCCCACATTCACCTTGTCCACGGTCCCCGGCTCAGTGCACGCATCCGCTGGCCCCGTTTTCAGTTATTCTAACTCGCTGAGCCTCTGCACTCCTGCCCCTCCCTCGGGCCTCACCACCTCTGCTCACACTGAGTTCTCACTCTACTGTCGCCTCCTGGGAAAACCCTTTCTTGCTTCCAAACAAGGTCAAGTCCCACCTTTGCAGTATTTCAGGGGTCCAAACTCCTCCCCTTCATAGCGCTTATCACAGTTGTAATTTTACATTTCCCTGAGTGATTTTTGATGGATGTCCAGCTATCCACCAAACCATAACCTCCATGAGGGCAGGGACTGTCCAAAATGTTCCCTGTCTTTGAATGGCTGGGTGATAAATCTCTGGAGAGCCAGGATTGGCGACAGCAGTTGCTGCCACTGGAGGAGCCCAGGCTGGGTTTGTAGAAATAAAACAGTCTGGGGAATGAAGCCAGAAGCCTAAGGCCTCTGGCTGGCTAAGCGGCTTCCCTGCCTGTCCCCACCGAGTGCAAAGCCACTAAGGGGCCCAGCTGCGGCAGAGGCTAGGAATGCCTGCGGCTGGCTGGTGGGGTCACAGCCCCGAGACTGTCTCAGGCTAGCTGAGAGCCTCCTGGCAGTGCCGCAGCCTCATCATGGCCATGGCTATGGTAGGGCTCACTTAGAAAAGTGGGCTACGGGAGTGGGCCCCGTGCTACGTTTTCAGCATGGCCAGGACTGGAACTGGGATACAGGTTGACCATTTCTTGTCAGCAGATGCTCCAGCTCCAAGTCTCTGGAAGTAATGTCGTCGCACCTGCCTTCAGGACAGTGGCAAGGGTGTGGGAGGCCACAGCCCCGCCAGAGAACTCACGGTAACATCTACTCCACAGCCCCGAACAAGACCCTGCACAAATGTTCCCAGGCTGAGCCACCACTGCAGACTTGCACGGGACAGAGGTTTCCCAGACTGCACGGCCTCTCTGCGGCACGGAGCAGGCACATATAAAACATGTGTGGCTATCCCCACGGTACTGTACCACGCACACTGGGCTTGAGGGCAAGGGACCTGCTTCCTACGGCCACGCCTTTCCACGTGTCACCTGTTCCTGGGACTTCCTCCCTCCTTTGTCGCCTGCATAACTCCTGCCTCTCCTCACTACAAGGCTCAACTTCCTGTCATGCGTCCTTAGTACCCTGTGAATGAAAACCAGCATCACAGAACGTGTCAGGGCTCGCTTGTCTGGGTTTACATATCTGTCTCTAGTTCTTGGTTTGCTTGTCTGGCTCCCCAACAGACTGTGGACTTCTGAACAGCAGAGACCCACCCTGTGTGCCTGGCATGCAGTAGGGACAGGAC